TAAGAAACTGCTTGCCATTTATGCTTAATAACCCGAGTCTGTATCTGGAACTCATGGTGGAAGGAGAGAACTGTTCCCGCAAGGTTGTCCTCTGACCTCTACATACACATCAAGGCATGAGCAACATTGAGCACATGCATTAGTACATGAGCATGTGCACATGCTCACACACAAACAAGTACATAAAGTACATACTAAGATGAATAAGTACATTTCTCTCTCTCTCTCTCTCTCTCTCTCTCTCTCTCTCTCTCTCTTTCTCTCGTTTGAGACAGGGTTTCTCTGTATTGTTTTGGAACCTATCCTGGAACTAGCTCTGTAGACCAGGCTGGTCTCGAACTCACAGAGATCCACCTGCCTCTGCCTCCCAAGTGCTGAGATTAAAGGCGTGTGCCACCAACACCCAGTGAATAAGTACATTTTATAAAGAATTATTTTAAAAATTTTTAATTAAAGGCAATGGGTTGGAGTAGGATATGGGATTAGCATTCACCATCATCTCTTTCAAAGGTGAAACTTGGGGATATGAAAATAATTTTAGTATTAGTGCCAAAATTGAACCACTTAGGTGCAGTTCCCTAGGAGCCATCCACTTTGTGTTCTGAGACAGGGTCTCTCACTAGGACCTGGGGCTTGTAGGCTAGGTTAGGCTGGCTGACTGTCTAGCTCCAGAGATCCTCCTGTTTCTGCCTCCCAAGCTTTGGGATTACAGTGAGTACTACTGTGCTGGCTAGTTTTCTGTCAACTTGACACAAGCTATAGTCACTTTAGAAGTTGCAATCCCAGTTGAGATAATGACCCCAGCAGATTGGCCTGTCTGTAACCCTGTGGAACATTTTCTTAATTAGTGATTGATATGGGAGGGTCCAACCCTTTGTAAAACTTTCCTCCCCAAGTTGATTTTGTTGTGATGTCTATCACAGCTGTATTGCTCTGACAGATCTGGCAGTGTTGTTTGGGGAGGATTGTGCAAGGACTTTGTAACTTTGACCTAGAAAAGCTGTTTGATGCTCAGAGCTTATTGAGCTAGCTGTTCTGTGGGAAGTTGGAAGATAATGAGAACAATACAGACAATGGGGGCCTGGCCTATGAAGTTTCAGCACAAAGTCTGAGAGTCACTCAAAGATGCTATCAGGGAAATTTGATATTTTGAATTAACCACAGAAATTAAACCTTTGCTTTACTGGACAGTTTGATACTGGTTATCTGGGGCTGGAGAATTGGCTTTGAGTAAGAAGAGGCCAGCATCATTGAGCAGACTCTTCTGGAAGTGTTCCTTCAGAGTCTACACATAGATGCTGTAGTCTTCTAGTACAGTGGTCTTGTACAGCATGGTTATGCGTCTTGCTGAGCCAAGCTTGGTAATGTGTAAGAGTCTCCCAGGCAGTATTGGTTTTGAAGGCATGAAGGGGTCATGGAAATGAGCTGGCATATGCTTGACACAGTGAAGTGGTCAGGAAAGGCCATTGGTGACTGTAAAGCCTCAGTTGACGTTGAAGCCCTGGGACTGAAGGGGTCATGGAGAGAAGTTGAGACTGGTAGGGTCAGTCCCTGAAGAGAGCTCAGGAGAGGAATTGGTGAAGGTGCAGCCAGGCCAGAGACTTCAGCATTTTAGGGATGCCAGTACCATGGGACGGCCATCAAGGATAGCAGTAGGTATGAAGTGGGGCCTGCCGCAGTCTAGTAGACCAGTCCTTTGGAGCCCAGAAGATCGTGATTCCCAGAAATCTGACCTGAACTTTACACTGTTGGACTTTGGTTTGCTTTGATCTGGTTGTGACTGTGCACTGCTTCTTCCCCCTTGGAATAAGAAAGTGTGTCACTTATTTTTTTATTTTGCAGGAGTCTACAGTTAAGAAATTTTAAAGAGATTTTGGAGTTTTGGAGAGACTTTGAATATTTTAAACCTTAAACATGTAGGCACCAAACTCTGGTACACCCAGATATATAAAAATTATACCACTAGATTTAAATATATGGATTAACATTAATCCATTAATAGTAGGTTATCTAAATACTCTACTTTCTCTAATAGGTCATCTGAACAACAACAACAAAAAAGTTAAGAAAATGAGAGTTAATTGATATCACACAGATATCTACAGAAATTCCACCAAAATACCAAAGAATACACATTTTTCTACTCAAGAAAGAAATTTATAGTTCTAAGTGCTTACACTAAAACAAAATAAAACAAAACAAAAAACCAGAAATAGCACAAATAAGTGGCTTAATGTGGCAATTCAAAAATCTGGAAAAATAAGAACAAACCAAATCTAAACCTAGTTGATGGCAAGAAATAATAATCAGAGCAGAAATTAATGAGTTATAAACAAAGAAAAAATGCAGAATCAGTGATTCTGAAAATTGGTTCCTTGAGAAGAACCAGCTGACCGATATATAGAGAGTTTCCAAATTAACAGAATTGGAAATTAACAGGAAGACATAACAGACACTAAAGAAGTTCAGCATTTATAACATAATCCTTTAAAAACCTCTTATCTATTAAAGTTGGAAAACCTCAAAAAAGTGAATGAATTTCTAGACTCAGCCATACCACCAAAATTAAACAAAGAATTAGCCAACAGCCTGAACAAACTCATAACAAATGTGGAGATTGAAATAGTAATAAAAAGTCTACCAAATAAAAGAAATAAAGTTCAGGGCCAGATGGACTTCTAGCAGAATTCTACCAGACACTCAGAGAAGGTCTACAGCCAATCTTCTGAAACTATTAAAAAAGAAAGAAACAAGGTGCATTCCCAAAACTTCTATAAAGCCATTTATGAACAAGAGACAGGAGACGGAGAGACAGACTGACCTTGAGAGAGGCCCCAGTGGTATCCCTAAGAGAGATCTGAACAAGAGAGTTGGTTAATCATTATTCCTGGACATGTTGGTGAGGCTTTTGGAGAAAATCAGAATCAGTGGTGAGAATAAGGAAGCTTTCCTTTCACCTGTAAAAGGTGAATTTAATTTTTCTTCTAAAATTGAGCGTGCCATCTGCTGACTTAGATATCCAAACTACAAATTCTCTGCCCTTCAGGTTCTAGGATTGGCTCCGGTGTTCCAACATGGGACACCTCTGACAGGCAATTCTTGCTCAAGAGCTTCCCCTCTGCCAAAGCTCAACTGCCTCCTTTACCCAATTCTGCTTGTTTCTTATAACACCTTCCTGTCATGCTGTTACAACAGACCTGGGCCCCAAACTCTTGATTTAGCAAATGCTTCCCAAAAACTAATTCTGGGGAGGTGACTCAGGAGATGGCTCAGTCAGTAAAGCGCTTATGTAACCACAACTGCCTGAGTTTGGACCCAGAACTGAGAGACAAGCTGGGTGTGATGGCGCACACCTGTAACCAGGGTTGCAAAGATAGGTGGGTACCAGGGAACACCTGGAACAAGGATTGCATATGGAAATGCTTGGACCTTTAAACCTTCAAAAATGTTGGGTGTCCTGGGGAAGGCATGACCTGTGGAAGTGCAGTGCCTGAAAGGCAAACACTAATGACCATGTTCACCACTACAGCTGGCAGCAAGTCCGTCCTTCCTTGAACAGGGAATTTAGCATGTCTTCCTGTTTTTCTTAAGAATGAGGAAATCTTTCCTAGATGTCATCCACCAGACTTGTCTCACATCTTAGCATTATTAGATTACATGCTATGACAAAGATTAGTAATTATCCTTTACAGCCCTTGCCAACTTCTCTAGGAAAGAGAACCCTGGGTTTGGGGGATTCTTTATCATATCTTGGGTAGTGGCTAAGTTCTCTGCCCTCCTCTACATGTAGGTAATATGCTTGTAGCTTTTGGCTAAGGGATACATGTAGAATTTTCATGTTAGACTTGGGAGAGGGTGTGTCCTTTGTTTCCTTTTCTTCTTCATGCTGTAATTGAGGAGACTGAGGAATCATCTTGAAGTTTTAGGTAGAAACCAAGTGTTGGGGATGACAGGAGAAGGTTACAGAATAGCAGGTCACTGATAATTATGAGATTACTTACATGTTTTGGAGTATGCACTTTTGGATGTCATGTTTTCGTTTCACAATTACTTTTTTTTTTTTTGCTATGTGTATTAAAACTTAACCTTAAGTGAGTATGTATTGCTAGTTAATTATTGGCAAGGTACCAGGTGGTGGCACACACCTTTGATCCCTGCACTTGGGAGACAAAGGTATGTAGATCTCTTGAGTTCGAGGCCAGCCTGGACTACAGAGAAAGTTCCAGGATAGCCAGGGCTACACAGAGGAAACCTGTCTGGAAACAAAACAAAACAAAACAAAGCAGAAATTATAGACAAGGGACACAAGGAAACAGGATTGTTTAGACTAACATGTTTGGGGTGTAGTAGTTGTTGACAGGGTATATAGATTTGTATCATATGAGTGGAATAGAAGAGAAAGGAAAGAAAGTTGAGGGAATTGGGAGATCAGGCTTTTATTGTGGTCTGTATGTGAGATCTTAACTAGTGGACTAGAAACATGTGGATGCTGATTAGTGAAGAAGTGATGGTAGTAGATTGGTGGTCTCTGTGGGAGGAAGACTCACTGGAGAGGAGATAAGAGACAGGGTTCAGGATAGGAAGCTTAGAATTCAATTTTGTTGGTAGTACCTTTAGTAATAATATCAGAGGCCAGAGGAATGTGTGGTTAGGGTGAGGAAAAGGAAAAGATGGCTAATGGTGAGGTTAAGAAATGGAGAGGCCATTAGGCAGGGTAGCACAGATCTGTAATCTCAGCATTAGGGCAGTAGAAGCCAGAGTTCAAGGCCACTCTGCCACTTAGCAATTTTGAGGCCAACCTGGACTCTACAGTACAAATTTAAATGTTTGTATACTTTTATATGTGTGACTTATTACTTATTATAGTTTGAATGTAACTAGTTCTCCTAGTTGTAGTATACACATTATATCAATTTACTTAATTTATTTTATATTTATAACCAAGAAAGATAATACTGTATGAAATTTAGACTGACTTTTTTTCTTTATTTAAATTACAGACTAACTGGATCTTCTGGATTCGTAACAGATGGACCTGGGAATTATAAATATAAAACAAAGTGCACATGGCTTATTGAAGGACAGTAAGTAGCAATGGCTAACTTTAACTTAATTTATATTATAAGAGCTCATTGTAACAAAAAGTACTTAAGCGTGTGTTAATGTTGTTTCTTGGGTCAAAGCCTCGATGTTGTAACTCAGGTTGACCGTGAATTTGGATATTGCTACCTCAGCCTCCGAAGTGCTAGATTTGTAGGTGTGGACCACCATGCATTGCTGTTAAAATATCTTTATTAATAGCTTTTCATTTGGCAAGTGATTTTGCTTTTTTAAAATTTACTTTTTGGGGGCCAAGGAGATGGCTCAGTGGGTAAGTGCTTGCTGAGCAAGTCTGATGATAAGAGTTCAATCCCTGGGTCCCACAGTGGAAGGCTGACTCCTGAAAGTTTACTAAAATAAAAAATTAAAAGAAAATCATCTTTTTTGGGTGCCAGGGATTAAACCTAGCAAGTTCTTTACTATTAAAAGACCCCTTAATTTATGTCTTTTCTTTTTTAAGTTCTTTTTTTGTTGTTGTTGATTTTGTTTTTTTGAGACAAGGTTTCTCTGTGTTGCTTTGGAGCCTGTCCCGGAACTAGCTCTGTAGCACAGGCTGGTCTCGAACTCACAGAGATCTGCCTCTGCCTCCCGAGTGCTGGGATTAAAGGCATGTGCCACCAATGCACATTTGACAGTCCTCCTGTCTGACTTCTGTGTGTTGGGATTATAGGCATGTACCACCACACCCAGTTTCTTATATGGTACTTGGGTCAGACCCAGAGCTGTACACATACTAGGCAAGCATTCTATCAACTGAGCTACATCTCTGGTCCTGAATACCAGTTGAAAGTTAGCAATTGTAGAGAGTGGGAATGTGGAAAGGAGGGAGAACATTACTGATACAGTTGCTGAAATTATCATTGGCCTGTGAAGTGATGAGGGGGACCAGGACTGGAACCAGCCTGCCCATTACTGTGACTTTCTGCAGGACATCTTAGTTTTCTTTAGATTCAGTCTAAGTTAGAGTCAATACATAGTTTCCTTAAGACAGGGCTATTTGGTACAGGGCCAATAATAGGCAGAGATACAGGTAAATTTAGAAAATGTGTGTTATAAAGTGATGTGTTATGAAATCTTAAGATGAGTAAGGAAACAAATGTGGAAATTGCAGGACTTGTGTTGCTGAATGTTAAAATCAAGGCTGTAAAAGTCTTATACGGCTCCCGAAGCCAGAGCCCATGTCTCTCTTGTTTCTACATGTGTGTTTAATGTCCTCTTATATATAGCAAATACTAAATAGATCCCAACAAATGTAGAAATGCTGTTTATATTTATTTTATATATTTTCTCTGTGTAAATTCTTTAAAAGTCTTTCTTTAGTATTTAATGTTATGATTATTATAAATTTCTTACTTATTTTTCTAGGCCAAATAGAATAATGAGACTTCGTTTCAATCATTTTGCTACAGAATGTAGCTGGGACCATTTATATGTTTATGATGGGGATTCAATTTATGCACCTCTGATTGCTGCCTTTAGGTAAGTTGAGCCATTATCTGTTCTCTGAGTTTAAATGTGCTTCCAGGATTGACTCCATACTGGATTTACTTTTATCATTCTGTACTATATATCTCATGTAGAATTATTAGTTCTGTCCCTGGCATGTTCTCTTCACTTGATTTTTATGTACTGGGTCATTTTCTGTGTATGCTACAATGTAGCCGAGGTTAGTCTTGAACTTGCAGTCCTCCTGTCTCCGCCATGCTGGACTCATTTCAGGTGCTAGATGGCTGGAGCAGCAGCTAAGAGCTCATGTTCTGAACTGCAAGTAGGAGGCAGAAATTGCATATTGGGGATGGCAGGGGGCTTTTGAAACCTCAAGCCCAACCCCAGTGATACTCCTTTTTCAACAAGGTATCGCCTCCTAATCCTTCCCAAATAGCCACCAAGTGGGGGGGGGCAAGTATTCAAATGCCCAAGACTTATTATGGGTGCCATCTCATTCAAACCACCACAAGGGCCCACTCTGAATATTGGCAGGGGGCTGGGATGAATTGAAGGGGAGGTGGGAGGAAATGAATATGTGCCCATGTGCTTGCTGTGAGTTGAAGAACTTCCCTGTGATGATGAGCTGAAATTCCTGAAACCAAAATAAATTTTTTTCTCTTAAGTTTTGTTGTTTATTTTTTGAGGCAGGGTCTCATGTAGTCTAGGCTGGATTTAAACTCAGCGAAGTCAGTAGTTACCTGGAATCTACTCCTAAGTGCCAGGATTATAGGCATGCGTCTCCAAGCCTGTCAGTTCTTAAGTTGTTTTATCTGGTGTTTTGTCATAGCGATGAGCCTGACTAATGCACTAGCAGTTTTGTCCCGCACTGGTGGTGCAGTCAGGTTGTGCCTCAGATGTAGTCAGAGATTCCATGTCAGCTTGGGGTAGGTACTCTGAGTTCAGGTTTATGAAGAAAACACTTTTAGTTCTGTGATTCTTTTCAAATATGGTTCCAGAGCTAGAGAGATGGCTCACTTGGCAAAGCGTGAAGCCTGTGTCCTCAACACTTGGAGGGGGTAGATGAACAGGTACATTCCTGAAGTTCATTGGCTGGCTAGATTACCTGAGTTGATGAACTTCAGATTTGAGACAGGGTGTCTTAAATTTAAAAAAAAAAAAAAAAAAAAAAATGGAGCTAGAGAGATGGCTTGGTGATTAGTACTGGCTGCCCTTCCAGAGGATCCAGGATTGGGTCCCAGCACCCACATGGTGGCTCACAACCACCTGTAACTCCGGTTCTAAGGGATTCAGTGTCCTCTTCTGGCCTCTGCGGGCATCAAGCACACTCATTCATGCAGGCAAAGCACCCATACATGTACAATAATAATAAAAGGGGGCTGAAGAGATGGCTCAGAGGTTAAGAGCACTGACTGCTCTTCCAGAAATTCTTCTGAGTTCAATTCCCAGCGACCACATGGTGGCTCACAACCATCTATAATGAGATCTGGTGCCCTCTTCTGGTGTGCAGGCAAATATGCAGACAGAACACTGTATATATATATATATATACAATAATAAAAAAGTAAGATGGACGTGATAGAAGACACTCGATATCTACCTGCGGCCTCTACACGTAAACACATAATTACACACATGTGCATGGGTACTTGCACTAACAAGTATATACAACACACACACACACACACACAGAGCAAACATTGGTGGTCTTAAATGATGAAATTTAAATGCCTGAGACTGTGGGTGACACTTTCTATTTAAACCACCTAAATGGCTAATAGTTCCATCTTACTGATCAAAAATCACCTCACCTCTTTCCAGCCCTCCTCTCTTTCTACTGCAGCACTTTGCTTCTTTTCCTCTGCTGTTGCTTTTGTTGAATTACTTCTGAGTGGTATTGTGTATGTATGCTCTGTGATGGCCTTGTTTCTCTGAATTCCATGAGGAGAAAGACATTGTTTTGTTCACTTTGTATTCTTGATACCTAGAACAGTGTCTCTAGTGTGTTAAATATTTAGTATTTTTTAAAAGATTGCTTTTATTTTACAAATGTTTTGTCTGTGTATGCATGTGTATGTACTACATACTTGCCTGGTGCCTTCAGAGACCAAGACGAGGGCAAATTGCGTAGAACTGGAGTTACAGGCAGTACATGCATGGAAATAAACCCAGGTGATCTTCAAGCACTCCTAACCACTGAGCCTTCTCTCTAGCCAACCATTTGGTGTTTATTAATTGATACACAGAAGAAAACGTGTCTGTGTTCTGTAAGCCCTTGTGTACTGTCAGGACCTCAGCATTCCTGTTTTATCTTCAGACTAAAATTTTAATGAGGACTGAGAGGACTAAGTTGTTAAATTGCTTATCACACAAACATGAAGATCTGAATTTCCATCTCCAGCGCTCACTCACATAAAAACCAGGTGTGGTTTGTGAGCCTGTTGATTGCAATGTCGAGGAGGCAATCAGTGAACTCAGTAGGATCCCACCGCAAAAAAATGAGGTGGGTTCTGTGGTGGCACATGTATATAATTCCAGTATTCAAGAGGCAGGGCAGGTGGCTCTCCAAGAATGCAGGCCAGCAGTCTGCATAGTGAGTTCCAGGCCAACCAGCACCACATAGTGAAACTCAGTCTCCAAAAGAAGGTGGGAGTGATTGAAGACACCTGATGGCGGAATTCTGGCCTCTACATCTATACTCACCTTTATACCCCTCTCCCACAGGTACAGATAACACGCACACACATGTGTTCACACACAAATTAAGTGAAAAATCCCGTCCTCTTCTCACTTTCATCCCCAGTTGGCATAAATGACAGGTACACCAGGCCAGTTCTGCTGAGTACCTCCCAACTCCATTTACTGTCTTCATGAGCTCCTTGTTAGTCTTGAAGACCCACAGATTCGTATTGACTATTTAATCAACTCCTGTGATTGAGTGACTAGATGACTTTTAACCATTTGTCATCTGAATAGTTCTGGAATCAGAATCAGATTCATTGTTTTTCTGTGTGTAAACGAGGAAATATTTCTTTTACGAAGAAAATTACTAGGTCAGTCAATGAGCCTTTTTCTTTTCTTTTCTTTCTTTCTTTTTTTTTTTTTTTTTTTTTTTTTTTTTTTTTTTTTGAGACAGGGTTTCTCTGTGGTTTTGGAGGCTGTCCTGGAACTAGCTCTTGTAGACCAGGCTGGCTCCAAAGTACAGAGAAACCCTGTTTTGGGGGTGGGGGAAGAAGGAAATTGGGGCTGTTGGAAAATGTATCTGAAAATTAATAGTATGAGGATTGTAGATTCAGTTTGCTTTTCTATTTATATTTTTACATAAAACATTTATAAAATATACTTATTAAGATATGATACATATTATTAATAAACAAAATATATAAAATATTTTCTCTTTCAACAGTACATATTTGGCAATTCTAATTGTCAATTCCTAATTTGTTATTTATGTGATTGTAGAGACTTGGGAGTATCATAAAAAGTTTTATAACAACAGAAAAACAAAGCCATTGGTTTTATATGGTTTTGATGCTAGGCAGGATAGTGCCTGCCTGTAATCCCAGCACTAAGGAGGGAGAAGCAGGTGGGCATGTGAGTTTGAGGCCAGCTAGAGGTACATTCAGACCGTTGGAACAACAGGAACAGCAAGATCAAATGAACAGCAGCATCAACAGCAACAGAAGAAAGGAGACATAGTGGACTCAGGACTGCGGCTTAGCGCATCCACAACTGGCTGGACTCAGACTGAAAACTGTAGAGACGCACCCTCTTGAAATTGCTATGACTTGGTCTGTGTTTGCTTTTCAGTGGCCTCATTGTCCCTGAAAGAGACGGCAATGAGACGGCCCCGGAGGTCACCGTCTCCTCAGGCTACGCACTGCTGCACTTTTTCAGCGATGCTGCTTATAATCTGACAGGATTTAACATTACTTACAAGTAAGGTCTTTAGAGTTAATGTTTATGATATTATTCAAAAGCCTTAATAATGGTAGGCCATTGGGGTCTTACAGCAAGTCAGATACCTTGATAAATATTAATAATGGACTTTCTTATTTAAAACTCTTTTAAGTATCCAGTGAGAGGTAGGCACTATTTTTTCTTCTCATTTTATAATTGAGGAAACAGGAGCTAAAAGGTTAAACAAATGTCAGCCCCAGTGACTGAGACCAAGTTTCTAGATCTTGTCTCTGAGCAGCTGCTGGAAGAGAGGGTCATTCTTCCTGTTTCTGGAAGAAAACGTCAGGGGGTTTTGCTGTGTTAATTTAACAAAGACTAGTAGTGTCTCAGTAATAATTAGTAGAAGTAATCTATATTCTTAAACTATTATGATAGATCACTAATGCACTCCTTTAAAAAGTCTGAATTATGTCATTTCAAAGTGTATCAATACTGTAAAGTCATGTTAAACTCATCATTAAGTTAACTGCTCTTCTCCATCTGAAATGAGTGGATGAAGGTTACTAAAGATCTTTAACTACATCACTGGAGAGTAATCTTAAATTATATTAATTCTCAGAGACTTTACAGAGAACTGTGTACCATGAACATGTTGGTAGTTCATTGGATCCTTTTCCTTCTGTCACTCCCCAGCATGAACTTGGCACTTTTATAGAACTCATTACTAATGAGCTAGGAAGAGCAGAATCCTGGTTCCCAGCCTAGAGCCAAGTCTGAGTGATTTTGCACAAATCTCTTTTGTTGTGTAACTTCTCTAACTTTCTGAGTCATTTATTCTTACCCTCTTCATATGCGAATCCAGCAGGGTTGATTTGATTTTATAACTTGAACATGGGCTCTAGCTACACAGAGCTCAGTGAGCACACATGGGATAAATGGTAAGTCCTGTAGTTGTACTTGTGACTGAACTGAAGACAGTTAGACCCTTAAACTGTATAAGAGGATGTTCTGATTATAATTGAAGTATTGCTTTCATTGACTTGTTTTCTCCTATCTTTGCAGTTTTGACATGTGTCCAAATAATTGCTCAGGCCGGGGAGAATGTAAGAGCAGTAACAGCAGCAATACTGTTGAGTGTGAATGTTCTGAAAACTGGAAAGGGGAATCGTGTGACATTCCTCATTGTACAGACAACTGTGGCTTTCCCCACCGAGGCATCTGTAATGCAAGTGACGTCAGAGGGTGTTCCTGCTCCCCACACTGGCAGGGTAGGAGCTGCCTTTTCACTGTCCTTCCAGTCACAGAAAGTTCTAGCCTAGTGAACTGTAATGGAGTTTTTCAACTGTGTATTTCATGTTAATCATGTATCAGATGACATTTAATCATTCACCTCCCTTTTTTCAGATTCTTTAAATTTTACACCTATGTGGTTGTTATTGATATCCTTAGAATTGTGGAAAGGCTTAACATATCCTTTGCAACTCATTCATGAAGATAGGGAACAGGGTCTCATGTTAGAGGGGCAGAGAACTAAGCTGAGAGATAGGCAAAAGCTAGTCTCTTTCATCTATTCAGCTCCTGAATCTACCAGAAGATAGATTTGGATCTGTCATTATATTTTAACCATGAGGTCTTTTCCACTTGGATTGATAACCCCTTTGTCTGCCCTTCCCCCTAAGAACTGCTTAAGCAAGATTTTTACTAAAAGTTTAACCTGAATTTTGCCAAGTCATCAGAAAGTGTTACTAAATTTTCTTAGGGAGTAGCTGGGTGTTGGCACACAACTTTAATCCCAGCACTTGGGAGTTAGAGGTAGGTGGATTTCTGTGAGTTCGAGGCCAACCTGGTCTACAGAGTGAGTTCTAGGATAGGCTCCCAAAGCAATACAGAGAAACCCTGTCTCAAAAAACAAAAACAAAACAAAACAAGAAAAAAACAAACTAAAATCAAACAAAGAAACAAAAAAAATTTCATTAGGGAGTGATTGTTTTTGATCAGTGTTTTGAGTAAATTAAAAATGCCAGTTAGGTGCTAAAGAAATGGTTTGATTCTCAGCACTCACATAGCAGCTCACAATTTCAGTAACTCCAGTTAATGGGGATCTAATGCCTTTTTCTTGCCTCAGTGTGTACCAGTCAGGCAAGTGGTACATAGGCATACATATAAGCAAAACACCCATACATGTTAAAAAAAAAAAAAAAAACCTTAAAATCCCACAAGTTAAAGGCATTTGGTACTAAATGGTAAAGGAAACACTATTCTTTTACATTTTCTGCATTTAGATTAGAACTTGGGATACTATAAACTTTCAGGCCACATTTTGTGAAGCTATTTGTTTTTGTTTGTTTGTTTTCGTTTAGGTCCTGGATGTTCAGTTCCTGTGCCAGCTAACCAGTCTTTCTGGATTCGAGAGGAATATTCTGATTTAAAGCTCCCCAGAGCCTCTCATAAAGCTGTAGTCAATGGGAATATAATGTGGGTTGTTGGTGGATATATGTTCAACCACTCAGATTACAGCATGGTTTTAGCGTAAGTGGCTTCATAATTTACATTTTTTATTTTGTATTACTGTGTGTATCCATGATGGGGATGGTGGTGAAAGCATGTGTGCCATGTGTGCAGGCAGAGATCAAAAGACAGCTTTGTGGAGCTGGTGTTCTCCTTTTGTCTTATATGAGTTTGGAATATTTGGTGCAGGTTGCCAGACTTGAAATGCTTTACCCTCTGAGCCATCTCACCAGCTCTGTAAATGATTTTAAACACTTGTGAGAAGCTTAGGTTTCCATTATGAAAAGCTATGGTGTAAAAAATAATAAAAAAGACAAGAAATTGTAAGTAATTACTAAGGAAAATCTGTTTAAAATTTGATAGTAATCTTCCAAACTTTATTTTATATATGTTGATATCTTAGTTAGGGTGTCTGTTGCCCTTGTATCTTAAACTTACTGTTGAGGACATGGGCAATGTGGAAATACTGATAGGTACAAGGGGGAAAAAAGCCCTAAGGAAATTACTTAGGATGTAACCCAGTGATAGGGCTCTTGCTTTGCACATACAAGGCCTGGGTTTATATATCTAGCATCTCAAAAAATTAAAAAAAATTTTTTTTGAAGCAAAGTCTTCTAGAAAAGCTTGTATTTTCTCTTTAGTCCAAGGATTTAGGAAGACAGATACCACAAAAATCTAGCCCTGGCCTCATCTGTGCCAGTAAAGTCTAAGTGGAGAGCCTGGATGTCCATCCTCACCAGGATATAGTGAGTTACCCCAGCTATTAAGTGATGGCAGTCATAAGTTGATCTTCCCCATCCCACTGGAGTGGTGTCAGAGAAGGCCTGCTATAACAATATGATATACAAAATTTACTCAGCCAAGAGCCAATACAATCTCAGTTTGAATGAGAAAAGACTAAAGAGACAATGACATTGGACAGACATTAGAATTTGAAGGCAGCCATCTTAAAAATACTACAATGAACAGTTGGACATACACAAAACAAACAAAAGAATAGGAAATCTCACCAAAAAAATAAGAGGACATACAGAATATGAGAGGCCAGGTTAAGGCACTTGACCCACAGTCCTGATGACCAGTAGATCCCCAGGACTCATGGATAGAAGAAAGAATAGACTCCTCAGAGTTGTCTTCTGACCATCACGTTTGTGCCTTGGCAAATACATGCCTTTGCCCCAAATAAATAAAAGTAATAATAAAAAAGAATATTAAGTGGAGGGGTTAGAAAGATGGCTGAGCTGTTACTGGGACTTTAGTTCTAGAGTATCTGACCCCCTCTTGTGGCCTCTGCGTGCACTGCATGGTATGGTACACAGACACATGCAGCAAAACACCTGTGTAAGTAACATAAAAATAAAGATTAAGGGTGTCCTCGATTACAACTTGAGGACACCTCATTTTTCTAGCACCAAATCAACCTCTTATTTTCCATTGCTGTCTGTGGCACCAGGTATTGGTTGAGGATCAAAACCTGGAGCAAAGAAAGCCTCTTAGTTTGTCAAGAGCATCTCCTTTTTCTGTTGGCTTGCTATTATCAGGGTCACTGTTATATAAAGATTTTCCTTTGTGCCATCCTTCCCTTTGCCATCTTTTTGAAATTAAGAAATGCTTCAGTGGAGTCTGGACTTTGTTTTCTTCAGGTTCTCAAGTATGATTGACATCTGTAAATCCCTTTGCTTTGGGGGGGACACCCCACCATCCCATCATAATCCAGGCCCTGCTTCTTCAGCTTTTTAACCCTTTCTGTTCTGTTTCTTTCCCATGTTTTGCAGTGCACTTTTATTTGGGGGGCGTTTTTTAAAACTGAAAATTTGAGGGGTTCACCGCTCCAGACATAAGGCCTGCATCTCTGGACTGTGTACTTCAGCTCAGCCACGTCCCTTCTTGTCCTTGCTGTTGTAAAGAGCCTGCATGCCTGTCTGTGAACCAGGTCTTCTTCTTTTAATTGGAGTTTTTCTCTTTGAGATTGTTTCCTATCTATAATGTGAAGAATGGGAAGATGATGAATAGGTTACTTAATATATAGACTTCATTTTCTCACTTGACCTTATCAGCGTTATACCCCAGATATGAAACAACCCTACCTTCCAAAAGTGTGAAGATTAGAAGAAATATATACTATGTTTATTTTGTATTCTCCACATTAAAGAATTTGCAAAGAATTTCCTGTTTTCTATGTATACTCTCCTTGGTAAGTCCATACATCTATTTTAGAGTAAAACAAGCTTTCCTTAAATGACTTACCACTTTGAAAAATAATATTACTGTCTTCCTGCTAGATATTTCTCTTTTAAGATTTATTTTAATTTTTGTATATGTGTCTGTTAGCAAATGCCATGTACGTGCAGGTGCCTTAATTAGAGGCCAGTAGAGGGTGTTAGATCCATTTGAGGTGGAGTTACCAACAATTGCAGCATAGGTGCTGAGAACTGAACTTGGTCCTGTAGAAAAGCAGTAAGCACTCCTAACCACCAAGACATCTCTCCAGCCCATGCTGGATGTTGCCTTCAGTCCACAGAGGTTGCCTTTAGCTCCCCAGGTCTGTCTATATCCAGTTATCACTGGCTCTCACCCATGTATATGTTTATGTCATGAAGCCACAAGAAGGGGCTTGACTGAGTTTTGCTAACAGTGTGAATCACAGAAATGGCACCCTGTCACCTTTGCTTTACAGTGGTTAGAAGCAAGTCGTTGGTTCTGCTTATACTCAAAGGAGGGTATTATATGTGGGTGTGAACACCAGGAAGCAGAGAGGTAGGGAATGTCATGGGTATTACTCAAGTATCTGCCTGTTGTGGTAAATCGTCAGGTTTTACTGGCACTATCTTTAACATCTGCCCTAAGTCTGGAGCTGAGTATGAGCTTGTCATCAGTCCCAGAACTCAGATTGCAGAGGCAGGAAGATTGTGGTTTTGAGGCCAGGATAGGTACATACAGAGATCCTGTCTCAAAAAACAAGCATACAAATAAAAAACCTGATTACACTCACTACTAGTGCTGCTTCCATGAACAGAAAAGGCAAATTAAACTCGTGAAAATGATTCTTGGCAGAGCCATACACATCATTTATGTGCACTTTCCTTCCCTTTGTGTGTATGCATGTTCCCATGTAGGAGCCAGAATTCACTGTTGGGTGTCTTCCTTAATTGCTTTTCACTTTATTTTTTGAGACAGGATTTCTCACTAAATCTAGTGCTCGCTGATTCATTCGGCAAACCCTAGGAATCTTCCTGCCTCTGCCTCCACAGTGTTACAAGCACAATTCAGATTTGTGTGACAAGCACTTTACTGAGCCATGTCTTCTTTTCTTTTCCTCTTCCTCCCTCCCTCTCTCCCTCCCTTCTTCTTTCTTAAGATTTGTTTATGAATGTCTTGCCTACATACATATACACATATACACATATATACATTATATGTTCACACACATACACATACACACCACATGCAGGCAATGACAGAAGAGAGCACTGGATCCCCTGAAACTGGAATTCCAGACAGCTATGAGCCTGTTATGTGGGTTTTGGGAACTGAATACAGGTTCTCTAAGAGATCAACAAAGGCTCTTAACTGAGATCCATCTAGCTAGTCCATGTTTCTTTCTTGAAGCTAGAAACAAGGAATCATTTTGATTCTTCCCTTTACAACTTTCCTTCATAACTTCACACCAATTTTCATCAGCTGTCAACAAATGCATGTTATATTTATTTATTTGTAAGTCTAGCCTGCTATTTTTTCTACTTAGTCTCTAGCAATAGAATTCTGTCAGATTTATGTTTTGTTGCTTTTAATCCATTTGTAAAGGTGAATGGGATTATATTTCAAAATTGCAAATCCCATCATTTACTATATTCTTAAAAGCCATTGTTAGCCAGGCTTGATTGTGTGTTACAGGTCTGAGGGGGAAGGTTTCCCCAATACAAGTGTTATAGCTCTGCTTTGGGAGAGGGGGATTTTCCAATGCAAGGGTTACAGCTCTGAAGGGAAAGGTATCCTGGCAGTTGGGAGCCAAGGAATACCACAAAGTCATACCGCAACACAAGAGATTTATAGGAAGAGAAAAACCCAGGAGGGTGGCCGCCTCTGCTTGGGAGAGAAGTTAAAGAGAACTGAGCAGAAGACAGGGTTTAAATATTTCTTGGGGGATGGAGCTTTGCAGTGTGGGGATTGGTGGAATTTCAAGTCCTGAGTTTGGGGTGAACCCAGGGATTGTTAGGATTTCAAACTCAGGGATTGGTGGGTTTTCAAGTCTGAGCTTGGGCTTTTTACTTTGTAGGGTGGAGCATGGCCACCTGTGTCTGTAGGGGCTGTGTCTAGCCATTACTGCCAGGGTGGAGCCTGGCTGTTGGAGGTCCTCGGGGCCATGGCCTGGCTACTCAAAAACCTCGAGGAGCTTACAGGTTGTGCATGCGTATATGCCCAAGATTCTGGGTGGTCAGTTAGGAGGATAGTGAGTTAGGAGCCAACCTGAGCTAAAACCAATTACAAAAACCACACACATAGAAAAAGCCCCCCATTAATACTGCTCCATTAAACCATAGTGGTTCTGTATCACCATTTAACCACTGTTTGCCTTCCCGTGATCTATTTGTTTTTCTCTTGCCTTTGTCCTCTGCTGCTGGGAGTCTTCTTTCTTTGTTCATGAAGCACCATGTGTGTCTGGACTCCAAGGGTTTTTGCACCAGTGTTCCTTCTGTCTAGACATACTGATACTGTGCCTGAGGACTGGCTTCTTCTCACTCTTTACAGCTCAATCTAATTGTCTCACCAAGAGAACTTTCCTGACCATCTGGTTCAAACAGGTTCTCCCTGTTGTTGTTTTTCAAGCACTGCTGCTTATCTTAAATTATGTGTGCCCATTATTGCACATGCTCATTGTTTGGACTTGATTTACTCTGCCAGCTCAGGATGTAGTTCACAGAAGGTGCTCAGGTAAGCACTTATAGGTGCTCGGGGAGCAAGTGAATTCTTCATTTACTTCACACATATTCTAGGTGCATATATTAATGGCATGCTTTGTC